CGCCGAATCCGCGTGACCAGCAGACCGCCCGCAGGCGTGCCACCAAAGGCTGCCTGACTGCCATGCTTGGGGCGGCAAAAAACATAGAGCCGCCCCTGGCAGCAACTTGGCGACTCCCATGGCACATTTCTTTGCTCAGCTTAGGGATTTCTGTGTAGAAATCCTGTCATGAGTCAATGCCACTTGCAGCAACGTTAACTCCTTCAGCATTCTCTCTACTGCTGTTACTGAGCACCTGCCAGTCATTCAAACAATAGCAGCGTGTTTCCAGGGGAGCTGGGGGAGGCAAGCAGGACTGCTCTTCCTGTAGAATGATAGAATCGTAGAACTGGGAGGGACCTCGAGAGGTCATCTAGTCCTGTCCCTGGCACTCATGGCAGTAGCCCCTTCCTGTACTGACTTGGTGGCTTTCTTTGATGTGAATCCCCTGGATTTATGGGGTTGGGAGCTTTCACCCTATCAACCAGTGGAGGAGATTCTTCCAAGAAAACTCTGCAGTGGAAATCTCCTTGGCACTTTCTTGCAACTTTTTCTGCAAGAGGTGTCAATCTGGCCCAGGGTGACATGCTGTTGAACGGTTAAATTATTTGATTTATTTGAATAATATCAACAATTTTATGAAGCTTTTGAGTTATCACCTCTGGAAAAAAGCAATAAAACTTGTCTTCCCTGAGAAACATATTGTTCTTGTTCTAAAGGCATGAACTATAAAAAGCATTTTATCCTTGTTCTCAAGACAAGGATTGTTTTCTTGGTTTTTCAAAGTCTTTTTATCCCCTCTCATCCAGAAGTCTAATAGAAACTCACTGGCAATTCTGTATTTGTGATTGGATTCCAGAGAAGACACAGTCATGGTTTTAAAACTCAAAACGGGCCCAACCCCAATCACTTTTGAATAATGAAGGGTTAGACAACTAGACCCAAAAGTTGTAGTTTTGAACCATTTCTATGGTGGTTTACTGTGTGCACCATATTCACTTGGACAGCAGGCTTTGATACACAGTCCTGTAACACGGTGGCCTGCCACATTAAGGGCCAGATGCCTCTTGCCAGCCAGCTCTCATCAATTGTCAGACCCAGCTGGGAGGAAAATAAGTGATGATAAAAGTCAGCGAATTATTCAAATAGTGACAGTTTCCTGCAGTAGTCCCTGGGGAAGGAAGATTCCAGGTGAGAAGGCCTGGATATTTTGGCTGGGTAGAAAACCCCATCTAGGGTTTTCCATTTATGAGTTTATGCTCATTTGGGCCAGAAGCAAGGGCCGAAGACTAATTTGCTGTGGCTGATAATTCCCCAGGCTGGTGAGAGAGCCATTATTTCACAATTCCCGGGATAGTACATTCTCGAAAACGGTGAATCAGTAATGGCTTAATAGGGTGATGGGCCAGATTCTGTGCACCTTAGTCGTGTGAGAAGTCTTTGCTGGGAAGCTTCCCATGAGTAATTCAAGCAGGAATTAGCCTCGCAACTCCAAAAGTAAAAACATGCTCCTTTTGGGTTCAAGCAGAGGTGCATGATGTTCTCACAGCTTCTTCAGTCAGCATCATGTGCCACATCGTTTGTTCTTCAGTAAAAATAACTGTTCAAGGTTTCAAGCTATCGATTTACACATGACTTCTTGATTGATGCAATTGTTGCTTCCCTCAGTTTCCTTAAACAAGTTTATTATTCTTATTCGACCTGGTCCCTGTTCTATCTACACTTGGGTTTTTTAATCTGAGTGATAGAGGAAGACTTTCCAAATGGTTAGGGTGCTAGTCTAGGACATGGGAGATGTGGGTTCAAGTCCCTGCTCTGCCACTGAGGCTGACAAGATGGGGAGAACAATTGTGCTAGGTCCTCAGGGGGAGGGGCAAAATGTCTGTAACTGGGGTGAAATTGGAGTGAACTGGGAAGAGGTGGGGGCCCAGGAAACAATGTACTGGGGCCCCAGATTTCTCTTGAGGGGCTTGTCTGCCACAGACTTGTACGACCTTAGCCAAGCCGCATGTCCATACCATGCCTCAGTTCCCCATCCGTAAAACAGGGATAATATTTCCTTATCTCACAGGTGCACAGATGCTGTGCTAAAGGGGGCCATATAAATACCTGTAAATAATTATGGCCCAAATTCTGCCCTTATTTGAACTGTACGCATTCCCATTCAAGATAATGAGTATGAATGGGATGTATTTGAGGTCAGAATCTGGCCCTGTAATATATAGGCATACAAGCTGAAAACTGTAAGCAATCAGTACAGTCTGTTTTACCCCTGTCAGTAATAATATAGGGCTTGATTCTGATCTTGCCAGTGTAAATTAGGAGTAACTTCACTGACCTCAACGGAGTTACAATGGAGCAAACGGGAACAGAATCAAGCTCCAAAGTGTTTCCAATGACCACTGGAAAAATGTTTATAGTAAATTTTATGTCAGAATCATGTGTGTTTCTCTTTTATTAAAACAACGAAACAAAACAAACCTCTCTTCATTTAATTATACGTAGCTGAACAGACATGCATAATTTTCTGCCCTTATTTTAGACTGGAATTTACAATTCTGATCTTTTCAGTTTTCTTAGGTCAATGGTTATACCTGTCTGATAGAAAAAGCAGAGTGCCAAGTTCTATTTTAGATTGTCATGCTAAATATTACCAAGGAAAAATGTCTTCCCAGAAGAACCTTGCAGTGTTTGGTTCATCCTTATAATTCTGATATTTGAGAGATGTATATAAAATATGTATTTCTTCCTTAAAGGAAATATTGGGCCTAAGTTATACCTGGGTTTCAAACACATAGTTCAGGGCCATCACTTTTTTTTTCTTACAGTAACACTGTCAATTCTGAGTGAGATTTTCACACGTGCTCTGCTGCACTCTTTTCCCACTAATATGTCAGTGGAAGAAGAGTAAGGCCAGCACCGAATGCTAATGAAAATTCCACTGTCCTACCAGTGGACAGAATTCTAGTCTGTACTTTTTACCATTGATAAAAATTTCATTGGAGCTATTCATGCATTGAAGAGGTGCTTTTTTTCCACTAATACCTTTCCAGATTCAACTGTCTTTTTGCTTTTTTGGCCTGACTGTTGCTGACTTGTGACTTTACCTGCTATGCAGAGAGAGCTGTTTTTACTCCAGTCAATACACTGATTTTTGTAAGAGCCTTCAAAATTAGAGCTCAATACTCGTACTTAACTGGAAATTCTGAATATCTTGAGTTTTTTCTGACAAAACAGAAAACCCAGAAATAAAACATTAATTTTCTTTGTTAAAGTCCTGTATTGTGTTTACATTCCCATGTAGCTGAGGGCATGGCAGAACCCTTCATTCCCTTTCTTTTTATCTATATGGAAACCAAGTTTCCTTCTATCAATCCTCATCAAAGTTACTTCTCTACTGGCTTGTGTATACATGACTTACTGACTTCTTCTAGACTGTAGTGGGCCTGTGCTCATGTGTAACAGATCCCCCTCACCTAGTGGAGTTTAACCCATTGGGTAGCTAAAACTGAAATTCTTCTTACCTTACCAGCTGCTCTTGTGCATACCAAGGACTGTCTGGCAGAATCTGAAGTATTATATGTATGGTATTTCTAGCCTAAACTCATAAGAGGGACAATAGGTAGATAGTCCGTTTGTAGAATTTAATGAAATAAATGACATTCTTTAATCTAGGAAGTACAATTGTACAGTTAAACATTTAAACTAGAGAAAGTGAACAGGAATTCTATTGTTTGCTTGCATTCCTACTAGAAAATACTCCTACTAGAAAAATCTGTTTTTCCTTCCATGACTCTTACGCTGTTCCTTAAAATAGGCTTTCATATTATGCTCAGAGTAGGATACTGAGATATAGTGCACTCTTCACCATCTCTGTTGTGCTCTCTGTTACACCAATTTAGTTGTATGTAATTATCCTGAGAAAATGGGTCACTTCACACATCCAAAGACTAGAAGTCAATTTCACACACTTCCCTATTTGAAACTCAGTAGAGTACTATTCATAACAAAAGAACAGATAGTCATAAGGAAGATGATGATTGTAAGGAACAAGGTATCCTGGAGGTTTGTGATCAAGTTCTTGACTTTAAATTCTGTTTCTGCCTTTTGAACTCTCTCTCTATGTGTAGCTAAAGTTCTTGGCCCCAATTCTCCGCTACTTCATTCATCTGGGGGGTGGGGATACAGAAAGGTGGCTTAAAACAGTCTTTATGTTCTTTGTGTTCTCAGTCAAGGCAACTACATGGATTTAGGGTGCTCTAATTTATGCTCTGGCTGCAGCGGCCCTCTTACTGCTATGCACCAGCGGAGAATAGTTTTAGTGCAGTGCACACCAGCCGTGCCCTCTCCATTCTCTGCACCAGCTGAGTAAACCTCTTACATGGGATTATCCCCTGGAGGCCAGTTCTGTACCCTTAGTAGTCCCTTTATGCCACGAATGTGTTACAACAGCGATTTGGAGCCCTTGACTTTAGGTCTTGTTGCTTCTTTTGAGAGAAGGAGAGTCCTGTCTGTCTCTCTCTTGGCATGATCTGACATCCAGCTGTTGACTTGCACTTCTGTTACTTCTAAATAAAGCTTCTTGATTTATGTGGTACATTAACCTGAGCACTGATGTTTATGCTGTAGGATGTGCCTTTGTGTGCTACTACCTTCTACTGATGTGTGATTAATCTGTATTAGTTCCCTCTGCTAGTTCTCTTTAGTGGAATTCATTTGTGATTTCATCAGATACAGGCAAGTAGGCATCCAGACTTGCCTGTAACAATAATACTTTTTTAGATAGTCATACAAAACACGCAAGAAATCACAAGGACACTTTGAGTCCATCATTACTGGTAAATTCAACAAGCACTCAATTATAAAATGACATTAAATATATATTAAGGAATAAAACCCATTAAATCCCAAAATCACAAATATAATTTGTTAGTCTCTAAGGTGCCACAAGTACTCCTGTTCTTCTTTTTGCGGATACAGACTAACACGGCTGCTACTCTGAAACCTGTCATTATTTTCAGGGTCCCTCAAGAGAGATGCCCACTGACTTCCTGAAGATGTTCTGAAAGACTGTAAATCATCTTTAAGTGAAGAGAAGTTTCTGAATCAAATACATTGAGGTACCTTTTATATTCACCTATACATACTATAGAGTGGGGTTTTCAACCTTTTCATATAGGGGACACCTTCCCATCTATCCCAGACCCCCATCACATTTAGCAATATGGGACGTGCAGGGTGGTCCTGACCCCCATGAGATTCACAAACCACAAGTTGAGTTTATTTCAATGTAGAGTAATTGATTTTCAAATTGAAATGTATTATATTCATTGATTTTAATGTATAGCTTAGTTGGATCCAAGAAAGAGAGAGACATAGGAATATTGCCATCTTGTTGAATGTATTATTGCAAGTAACTCCCTTTCATGCCAGTGGGAATTATGTATGAAAATCTGTGTGAATCAGAATAAGTATATACCTTTTGTACTTGAAATAAGCCTGGACAATGATCCTTGGAGCAGGATAGGGAAAAGTAGTATAGTAGCTGACACATTAATTTGCACTGAATCTTTTCTTGAATTTTACTATTTTGGGTATGAAAATTAAACATTTTGGGCCAAATGATTTTTCATTTACACAGTGGCAACCCCACTGACACGAAGAGAGTTGAAAATGTGGCACATGTTTTTATTGGATTCTGTAAGAGTACATATTTAACTAAATGCCCCAGAGAAAAAAGGCTTTTTCTGTAGCTATCAGGTTTCAAGTGGTATGAAGAGAAGCTAAACTCTGTCATAGAGCACTGACTGTGAAAATTGTAAACAAATGGGTAAAAATTCTGATTGGATATACCCCAAACTTAGACTTTAGTCTTTTGCTAGTGATGTGATTTGCCCAACACATGTTGAAGTCAGTTACTGATGAGTCATGCAGACGTATACTTGCAAAAAATGGAAGAGGTTTTAAAAGATAAAAAATGTACTGAATAGCCAGAAGGAAGTGCAGTCATACTTTCTCTTAATCCTCCAAAGAGCTAAGGACTGCAAACCTGAGGAGACAAGGCTGCATACCAAGGGGTGCCAGTAACTCAATCTGTTACCCATTCACTTACACACATAGCCCAATGAGACTGTCTGTTCATAGGACAGAAGTCAGGCATGATTTCTAAGAATGCATTCGGAAATGTACTAAGTGAGTTTTATCTTTTTCTGTAACAAAGCTTTCCATTCAATATGAACCAGCATAACATATTTTAGTAATGCAACTTCATGTTCTTTATAAAAAGAAATTGTTTCCTGGCATACCTTTCAGGAAGTAATTAACTTCACTGGATAACTGCATGGTCTTATTACTATTACCCTTGTCCAATCCAGCTCATTACCTCATATTCTTTGCAATCATCACTTATTCAATCTAGTCTTAAATTGGATTGTAAACTCTTTGGGGTTGGGGCCCATGCCTTCCTATTTTTATGTATAATTCCCAGCACAATGGGATCCCAGTCATGATTGTGGTCCCTAGAAGTTACCTTAATATGAAAGATAAATAATAATCATCATAATTATGTATTGAGATTTAGATTTAAATGCATGAACATATTCTTTATTGAAAGGATGATATATTACTATAATGTGGATTCACAGGGAAAGTGTTTTTGTTTTTGGGTTTTTTTCAATCATCATTAGCCATGGAACTTCAGAGTAACTCTTCAAATCACTATTTAAATGTAGTTGGTTCTCAACCCCCAAATATGTATATTTTTGTTTTAACACTGAAACCATTAAGTATCTAGTACCCGCATGTCTTAGTTTTGGCTTCCATTACAAAAATTGGACCAAGTTTTTTGACAAATAAACTGTAGATTAAATTAGACTAGTAAATTAGAAAAGCTTTTAACCTTTATCTTCACTTCACAAAATATTTTTTATGAATGATTTTATGATGAGACACTTTCCAGAGTAGCAGCCGTGTTAGTCTGTATCTGCAAAAAGAACAGGAGTACTTATGGCACCTTAGAGACTAACAAATTTATTTGAGCATAAGCTTTCATGGGCTACATCCCACTTCTTCGGATGAGACACTGTTACTCTTCCTACTGAAAAAATGAGGGCACCATGTGTGGTATCCATTACTTCGAAGAAACTAATCGTAATGGGGAGAGAAAAAATATATATGAACTGCCCTGTTTTCTTTTTCCTGATGAAATGTCTCCCTGTGTATTCATAACAGTAAGATAGCAATATTGCTTTGTGTTTAGCTATTTGACAGGCAGCATTGCAGCATGATGTTGGGGGGGAAATGGAGAAAAACAATGAAAATGATTGTTTTGGTAAAAAGACAGAACGAGCCTAGCATCCAAATATATAAAGACCAGTTCTCCCCTATCTTCATAGTGGGTATGTCAAACTTACTAGTTGTGTGGCTTGACTTTCAAAGGGCCAAATGAATTTTGAAAACAGGTAAGTTTTGCAGCAGATCATAAACCTGTGAGTTATTAAATCATGCATGGTTTAAGATTAGAAATTCAGACTTAAACAGATGTTTAGAGAAACATCCAGAAGTAGTTGTGCCAATGGGCAATTGTAGCTGAAAGTATGCATTAACCTCAACAAACAATAAGCAATTTGTTTGTCCATGTACAGTGTTAAAAAGGTGTAACTTGCCAACATCTACCTTCTTGAGGTATCTGAGTTACTGCCATACTCCCCTATATTTTGTCATGTCTTAGCTGCCAGGGAATGGTTTGTAGAATGCAAGATCTTCAGAGCTGGAACCGTATTTTCTTTTATGTTTCTGCAGCACCTAGCACATTGTGGGCTCTATCAAAAACAAAGTAATATTTCTGATAACTATTAATACATGATGTTTTCCATGATGATTCTTATAGTTATCACAGGCAAATCCCAGCATTAATTTTGTACAGCACTGCCAATACAACACCATTGTAGCGGGGTCAGGACCAGCTCCAGGGCTTTTGCCGCCCCAAGCGGCAGGAAAAAAAAAAAGCTGCGATTGCAATTGCGATCGGCGGCACTCCGGCAGCAGCTCCACCGCGCCACTTTCTTCTTCGGCGGGAATTTGGCGGCAGGTGCTTCCCTCCCAGAGGGACCCACCGCCGAATTGCCGCCAAACAGCCCGACGTGCCGCCCCTTCCCCTTGGCCGCCCCAAGCACCTGCTTGCTGGGCTGGTGCCTGGAGCCGGCTCTGAGCGGGGTGATCCCCCGCTCCTGCCTGGAAGGGCTTAAAACAACCCTGGGAGAGGGCTGTGGCAGGGGAAAAGCTGGGCTGATTGGGGAAGCGGCCGCAGCTGGGCCACATCCCAATCAGGCCTCAGCTGGTCCCTATAAAAGGCTGTGAGCCAGAGGCCCAGAAGAAGTCTTTCTCTGCCTTCAGAGAGAGAAGAGTCTGGCTGCTGGGAAGCTCAGGGTGCCTAGAGTGTCCAGGGCTGGGGAAAGGCCAGAGGGGCTGGGGAGCTCCAGGCTGGCAACTCCCCAGGCTGAAGGGCCTTGTCCAAGGCCCCAGAGAGGCACTGGGTTCCAGAGAGGGGCAGCAGGTCAAGACCCAACCTTGCCTATGATGAGTGGCTTATACTGCTGTCTGCCCCAGGGAGTGGGGCTAGATGGTGACTGGCAGTAGCCTTACACTGAGGCGAGGTGGGGTTAGTGGTTGGAGGTTCCCCTAGGAGGAGAGACCCTGAGAGAAAGGAGTTACTGCCAGGGGGCAGCACCCCAGCTAAAAGGGCACCGGAGTCCAGGGAGGGACACGGAGGCCAAGCAGTAGTGGAACACTGGCCTGCAGAGGGCACTCCAGAGCTGGGGCGAGCTAATTCCCATGGACGACCAGCAGGAGGCGCCTCAGGGGTGAGTCCGAACTGCTACATGCATATTCATGAGGATATACTGGAGTATTGAAACTCATAAGTATTAAGAATAAAGTTAGTTAAAGTACTGGGCAGGGATGAGTTACATCTATACTTCATATAGGGTATTAAGAATAAAATAGCTGTGCCATTAGGATTTTTAAAACATCTTTTGATGCAAGGGTGCCAAGTAGCTGGCAATCAGTGAATTTAGTTACAGCTGTTAAAAAGAAAGGTAATAAGAAAGAGGTTAAAAATTAGACCTGTAAATATAACATTTTACAGTATGTTAGCAAAAAAAGAGAGAGAAATTATATTTATGGCTAGCATAAGGATGCTTTTGGAAAATTACAACATAAAAGGTATGAGTCAGCAAGGATTTGTGAAAGAGTAAATCATGTCATGCAAATGTGATTACTTGAAAAATAAAATAAAATTCGGTCTTCATAAAGGAAAAATTTGAGATTTAATGTATCCAGGTTTTAAGAAAGCTTTTGCTAAAGTTTCACACAACAGATTCCTGTAGAAATTCTTTGTTCTTTGGAATCCGATGAGTAGTAGAGTCCTTTAGTTTTCTGTATTGGAACCATTACTCTTTAACATTTTAATTATTGATTTAGGTAAAGTTACAACATGTAGGATAATAAATATTGCAAAAGATACTCAACTAGGGAGATGAGTTCAGCAACTAGGGAGAGTGGTTAACCTGCAGAAGGATGTAGGGGTTTTACAGTGTAATCTTGATAGACCGGGTGCATGGGCTGAGAAGTAGAATATGAAATGTAATGGATACACATGTTAAATGATGCTCTTCAGTAGGAAATCCCACAAATTAAGCATGTTTTCAATAAAAATTGAATTAGTTCATAGGGAAGAGGAAACAGAGGTGTGTGTATTTATTGTTAGGGCCAGCATTAAAATTCCCAGTCCAACTTGTAGCAGCAGTAACGAAGACTAAATTATCCAGATGGACATCTAATATAAGTACAAACCTATTGTATCATCACTGTATAAAGTAACTGTTAAGACAGATTTCCCAGTTCTGGTCATCTAATTTGAAAGCAAGTATCTAAATGATTGGGAATACATTTAAGCTGATAAAATAGAATGGAGGGGCTTACAGTGAGAGAGGCTGCTAAAGCTGGCGATAGTGGATCTCTAAAGAAGACCATTGAGAAATGTATATCGAGGTGAAGGGTGACACTCTGGTCTATAATGAAAATGTGGGTAAGCCCAGCTCAGGCTCCAGTTGCACAGGTATTC